GGGGGGGTTGACAGTTTCAGGTTTTGTGCCCTTCCTGAGTGAGCCAGGGATAGTTTATGATGTCTCTTAAAAAGTCTGTTCTAGCTTTCTCGTGAAATTTTATAACATAGCTTAGTGGCTCATGGAAACTCTGGATCCCATTTCCAAAGAAAATGGCGTGTCCAGCTGCCCATTTTTATTTTCCCAGTAAGTGGATTAAAGCTGGCAATGATGGTGGACCTCAACATGGGGATATATTTGGTTCATATGTGGTTGGGTTTGCCATGCCCATGGGATAGCTCTGGCTCAGCTCTCCCTCTGTGCGACATGCATTTGATGCATATTTTTTCGGTGAAGGATTTTTATATGAATGTTATTCCTGAAAATGATATTAAGTTCTTTCAGAAATGAGTGGATTCAAGTTCAAAGCACGTAACACAACCGTTTTGTCTTTTTTATTTTCAAATTACAAAACCAAACTGTATCAGACTTGGGCTTCCCTCCACATCTCTCCCTCCCTCTCCCTCAAACTATTGCAGGGTTGCAAACGGGGTTATTGGCTTTAAAGCCAAGGACTGCTCAAAGTGCAGGACAAATTCGTCAACTGCTTTAGTAGGAGTAAAAAGGCTGAAATGTAAAATATTCCCCTACAGCTTCTATTTTCTGCACTCTGAATGAAAACACGATGAATTCAGTGACGAAGAAATGGAATTTGGAACTTGACTTGGAAAATAAGCTTTCAATATTTCAGAAAAGCAATCTTAACTACAAAGAAAAAACGCAAAGGTTGTGAAGCAAACCTTTATCCACATGGTCCACCCACACAGACAACAATCAACTCATAATATGATGACACCTGAAACACCTTTCAGCATCAGCAAGTTGGAATATCATCTGTAGTTTCACTGGCTGAGGCAAGAACTAGCTGAGGTTGGACAACGATGCCTTCTCTAAGTTCCCTTCTTGCTTTCCTGCGCTCACGCTGTAGTCTGAAGGACTCTCTCTTCCTAGCTCTGTAGCTGTTAGGGTTTTCAGGCTGCACTACACGTGGATAGACACTAATCTGTGAATTACACAAAGCCAAATCTGTGTCAAATACAACCATGATTTCGTCAGAAGTAAGAATTGTAAAGCCGTAGTTTAAAGTTGGACCTTTTTTCTATCAGGCCCAAACTTCTCAAACTTGACCAATCCATCAATCAAAGAGAAGATGGTGTGATCTTTTCCAAGCCCCACATTCTTCCCTGGATGGAACTGCCAATGTCAAGAGACAAGTGTAAGGATATCAGTCTCCCTAGCAAAGTAACAGCACATTCCAAAACAAGGCAGTGAAGGCATCCTGCACGCAGTTAAGCAATGCGCAGGAACTCCGCCCTTCATTTTTTTTTCTCTGAGCAGAGGAAGTCTGCATTATGAAATGTAAAAATTGATAATGCTAAAATCCATATGGTCTTATATGCATGCTATGAAATCAACAACAGCAATAACCGGGTTATTCAAAGGAACGGAAAGAATGAGACCATTGAGCAGATCAATCCCTCAAAGCTCCTATGATCACACAAAAGTTCAGATACACTAAACTTCCATCATCCAAGTACACCAACACACATATATCGATACACTGTATCTGATGGACTAAAGACCACCCAATATACCTGAGTGATGGGATACTAAATATAAGTAATTGTTCAAACTTGTCTGTAGCTAGATCCAATACCAAAAATATAGGCTTCTGATTGAGTTCTTTTTATTCTTCAAAAATAGATAGGGTTAAAATCACATGGAGCTAAGCATGCTTACTGGCATGACGCTTCTGAACTAGATTTTACATATTTATCCACATTCCACACAAATTTCCTCATAGCAATTTAAAAAAGCTGGACCACCAACCAGGCAAATTACATTTCAAAACCACACAAAAGGCGAGGAACCATTCTGTATATCCTAAATTCAATTTCTGCCCAAGGTGTACCCACAATCCCGCTTGGTACGTTCATAGTTCAACAAACATGGAGAACTTTCTTGCAAGCATCTTCAACTATTAGGGGGTTTCACATCTCGAAACTCACTGTCAAAACTAGGGCATCTACAAGGTGACATCTAGAAAAGTTCTATTTATCAAAATAAATGGTATATCAAGTTATCAACTGAATACTTCACCATCCTTGAGTCTATACTTGCTTTACAAATAGTTCATTTGGCTGGATCTAGTTTCTTTTTTATCTTTTGGATTGGAATTTTACAGAACTCAATATTGGAGTGAACTTTTGGTCAGTGCTTATTGAGCAGCAGCATACCAGAAAACATTACATATCATCTTCTCACTCATGAATCTACCCAATCCACCAACACTGAGGCACCGCAATTGGAATCAGTTTTTGGACCTACCAAAAGTACCACATTGGGCTCCTAACACCAAAAAAGAAACAGTGCCTCTGAGATGGATGGATGATAACTTAAGCACACAAACATTGGATCTCAGTTTAAGATTTGAACATAATAATATTATCAAACCAGCATTCGCCAATCCTTTCCATCCTATTCGTATACTCTCTCTGGCATTGCAAACTGTCTGATTTAAGGGGCTCACTTGACTATCCCTCTGCGTCTCCCCTTCCCTAGAAGGAAGACAATTTTAATTATCTGTGCCGGCGCGTCGTACAATACATAGAATATACACACATACATGAATCTAGGCATTAGTCTACATTTACATAAAAAAAAATTCCAATCTCGAAGTTCCATTTCTATCTAATTAACGAATAAAATATAAAAATTCAGGATCCAATCTCTGATGAATACTTATATCCCACAATTAGTCGAATTGAGAAGTTACAGAGCTCATACCTTGGTACCGCGCTGGCGAACGATAATGGCGCCAGGTTTAGCCACTTGATCGCCGAAAATCTTGACGCCAAGCCTTTGGCCAGGAGAATCTCGGCCGTTCTTTGTACTTCCGGCTCCTTTCTTGTGCGCAGACTCGATCGTCAGAGGATATTTCAGCGGAAACGACACGGACACCTTGTGCACCACGTCAACCGATCCAAAATCACCTCTAAAGAAAGACGATGAGGAGCTCGAACCCAACGACAGTCCTCTGAATGCTCCGACAAGATTAAAACTCAAAGTCGCCGCCGCCATTACTCTGCAATCAGAACTATGCAATTGTTACAAACATAAACATGTTATGTATATACATATATTGTATTGATTAGGATAGGGCTTGTGGTGATGCTTGCTTCCTGAGAAATGCAGTGATATGGTTGTGACTTGTGATAGAGAGGAAGGGGATGGAGGGAGGGAGTTTTTATTAAAACCTTATCTTCTTCTCCGGATCACACACCCGTATTTTATTAAGCCGATTAGAGGCTCTGATTGCGCCACGTCATTTGGTCCCACAAAAATAAGACAAATTCACTTTTTACTCCACTTAGGTTTCAATATTTAGACACACCGCTAATTAAATTAGGACAACCAGGTTATGTTCTTATATCATACATATATTATAGTGTTAAAATTTTATTTAATTCACACTCAATTTATTTATAAAATTATATATAATTAAATTTGCATAGTATCAAATTTACAATAATATTTAAAAAATTCATTTAATATTTAATTAAATTTATATTAGCGTTTGATCCATACATTTACCTTCCAAACCTCTTATTAAGACTCAACTCATCAAATTTGCTGGTTCCATATCAATTTCATGTCCTATTGTTGAACATGGGACCAGAGCCAAAATCATGTTATTGTGACCGATAAATGTGAATTTCTTTTACGAGCTTGTATAGCGTTACAAAACACAACCAATAGACATCTCATGCTCGGAGAGTATGCCAGACTAGGATCAAGGGCATCAAGTGATTCTAATTACTACTCCAAACGGTATAATCAGAATCATTTTAATAACCCTGCCCCAGTCTCACCTTGGTAGAAATTCTAAAGCAAGACGTGATATAGCCAGTACCCCGAACTAAGAAAGAAAAAAAAAACACATAAAAAACAAACAAGAATGAGCCAGCAAACGCCAAAATTGCTTCATCTTTGAGGTCGTCCTAAGAATAAACCACAATTTCAACGGTCGCACAGGCATAAGCACCACTTTTTAAGGTCAATACTAAGCAGCCATGGTCTGGTACATGGCTCCAATCTTGNCGACAAGATTAAAACTCAAAGTCGCCGCCGCCATTACTCTGCAATCAGAACTATGCAATTGTTACAAACATAAACATGTTATGTATATACATATATTGTATTGATTAGGATAGGGCTTGTGGTGATGCTTGCTTCCTGAGAAATGCAGTGATATGGTTGTGACTTGTGATAGAGAGGAAGGGGATGGAGGGAGGGAGTTTTTATTAAAACCTTATCTTCTTCTCCGGATCACACACCCGTATTTTATTAAGCCGATTAGAGGCTCTGATTGCGCCACGTCATTTGGTCCCACAAAAATAAGACAAATTCACTTTTTACTCCACTTAGGTTTCAATATTTAGACACACCGCTAATTAAATTAGGACAACCAGGTTATGTTCTTATATCATACATATATTATAGTGTTAAAATTTTATTTAATTCACACTCAATTTATTTATAAAATTATATATAATTAAATTTGCATAGTATCAAATTTACAATAATATTTAAAAAATTCATTTAATATTTAATTAAATTTATATTAGCGTTTGATCCATACATTTACCTTCCAAACCTCTTATTAAGACTCAACTCATCAAATTTGCTGGTTCCATATCAATTTCATGTCCTATTGTTGAACATGGGACCAGAGCCAAAATCATGTTATTGTGACCGATAAATGTGAATTTCTTTTACGAGCTTGTATAGCGTTACAAAACACAACCAATAGACATCTCATGCTCGGAGAGTATGCCAGACTAGGATCAAGGGCATCAAGTGATTCTAATTACTACTCCAAACGGTATAATCAGAATCATTTTAATAACCCTGCCCCAGTCTCACCTTGGTAGAAATTCTAAAGCAAGACGTGATATAGCCAGTACCCCGAACTAAGAAAGAAAAAAAAAACACATAAAAAACAAACAAGAATGAGCCAGCAAACGCCAAAATTGCTTCATCTTTGAGGTCGTCCTAAGAATAAACCACAATTTCAACGGTCGCACAGGCATAAGCACCACTTTTTAAGGTCAATACTAAGCAGCCATGGTCTGGTACATGGCTCCAATCTTGATCACAAACGTCCATATACAGCACATCCAGAACACGATCTTTCACAAAAAAAAAATTGTAGGAAAGAAAGGAATGCCAGGTACGAAAAAAGCTTCTCAACAAAATCTACTACAGAAGAATATATATGCATAAAATCCAACCAATAACTTCAGTTTGGAATTTACCTAGGCAAAATGTAATAAAGAGAAACTATTACTTGTTAATCAGTTTACAATGATGAAAAGCCTTAATCGGGTCAAAAATTAACTTAGCAAATGGCGATGTTTAATTCTCGTTTCAAGATGCGTTTTAACCCAAAAAAAAAACCCCTCGGAGACATGCCTTCACCCAATATTGCCTCTAGGACAAATGACTGGCTGATCTTGGAGGAGGTGGAGATGCATACTTATCTTGGAGGAGGCGGAGGCCCATGAGACTTAGCTAACCCCACCAAGGCGACAATGCCCACTGCAAGGATTATCCATCCAAATATGTCATACTTAAGATCACTGTCTTTCTTTTTCTTCTTTGAACTCTGCAAGTAAAACATAAATATTATGATAACAACAACAAAGCCAAGTCAAGGAATAAAGTATAGAACAATCCAACAATTGACAGCACCCTATCAAGGAAAAACAAACAGGAACCTAAAATAAAACATCAGATGCGAATACAATTCTTGAACGGTTTCACTGTATCAAAAAATTTGAACTTCTGACAAAGAAGTAGAGCAAACAACATATCTACAGCTAGTCCAATGAATGAACCTTACAATCAAATTTCACATAGGCAAGAGCTCATTCAGAGAGAGAGAGAAACTAGCTTGTTTCCTGGATGAGAATCACTACCAGGCTGCACTAATGCTAATTGAAAATTAGATGGAATTAATCAATTGCAGCATTAATTACATAATTAAATCTCAATGGCAGCTAAAGAGAGCCAAAAGCCTGAATAAGTGTAAAATGATGGGGAGAGTGTAACCAATCTACCTTTGCAGTGGCAGAACTTGAAGGCCCAGGGCCCATAGCTTGTTGAGCCAAACCGTGTTTATGGATCTCCACATGTAACTCAGGAGCCTAACGATACAGCAAACAATGATTAAAAAATAGATTTAGAAAGAATCAAACAATTATAAGACCATTGGACTCTGAATAATATTTCTGACAGTGACAAATTATGATATACCTTTAACCACCTGGAAAATACACATTAACACAAAATCACCAAGCAAATTAATTCCCCTTTCCAATCTAAAAGTGACAATCCGGTGAATTATGCTAATGTATCCAGATGGCATTATATGAAGTGAGATTACATACAGATATATTTCTTTTCAGAAAAAAAAGACATTCAGGTGAATTGCTAGAGAGGTTGTCGTTGCGCAAGCAAGGATCCAACCAACCCATACAATCCATTTAGATTGGTGGCCTAACCTTTGTTAGGAAAAAAGATGGGACCAAGTTTTTCCCTTTTTACCTAAAAAGAACACCTTCCTTTTCTACATACAAGTATAAAGATAAAATCAAGTAACACCCTCTTCTTCCTTCTTTCCCACTTGCAAACTAAACACGAGGAAGAAAGGCACCTTTCCTCCATGATTGGTACTGCTTCCATGACTTAAATATTCCCTTCCATCCAATCCATCCCTTCAACCAAATTACCCATAAAACTTGGAGAAGAGCCCCCCCTACCCCCCTTTTCTCTTCTCCCCCTTCTTTTTTCAGCACACAGATGGTAATAATACTTCTATCATTACAACCCAAATAGAATAATTCTTTAACATCAAAGAGTGTGGAAGGCCTTGTTCATTTGGTAAGACTGAAGTCATACTCATCTAGTTTATGTCAGATTCGATCACTAGATGTCTGAACAAATTTTAAGGTTCGCAAATAGGAAAAGTCCAAATTGTTTTTCTCCCATCTAATTTTAGCCCTGGTAAGACCAAATCCAATAATAATAAGTCCATTTAACAACAGCAAACTATTTCACTAGTAAGTAGAAAATTGAGCAACAATACAGCAACTTATATTCTGCATGACATGTATTAAGCAAGACAACTGGTATAAGTGACACAGGATATGAGCAAGACTGACATGGGAAAGGAATAATAGTTCAATGCCAATACTTAGTCGTGAAGCGATCTCCAATTACAATAAACCTAGTACTTGTAGGTCTCCTGATGGTCTAATTATGGAAATAAATAAACAGATCCTAAATAAATGAAGTTACACAGTCAAGCCCTAAGTTGAAGCCTACATACAAGCATAAACAATGAGATAGAAAGAGCTATGAGAGTAGGAATTAGGAAGAGACTAAGAGAGCGAAATTTATATATAGTTTATGGATAGTTAATTACGGTTAAGTACAGTTAAATTGGAAGTTTTGAATGGTCAAGTGCAGTTAAGAGTATAAATTATGCGTGATCAAGAGAGGATAAAGTAAGGGAAGTGCAGAATTTTTGGAGTGGACACCAAACCACACCCTCTCCCTATATTAAAAGAATAGATAATTGTATGTCTTGTGACACATCTCCTGTAGTGCGAAAGGCGGTCTATTGATACACAATTAGTAAGATCACCGCATTTATACTAGTTACATCAGCACTTTGAATCGCCCAAAGTACCATAGACTTGATACATGGGTAGAGGTGTGAAATGTGCGTAGGGAGCAACTACCGTCAACCAAATGAGCTTCTAAGGATGATATTCTTGGTTCTTACACCACAGAGATATCCAAAAATGAAAGAAATATATGATTTGCAAACTCCATGTTGCAAATCATGTGAAACAGCAAACTGGAAAACATACCCAGTAAAAGGGTGGGGTAAATTCCACATGCTATCAAAGAGTCCACGAAAACACCATATTAAGAGAGCCAAGATTTCAAAAAACAGCAAGCACAACACCAACACATAGAAGATTGCATCAGCTAGAAGTTTAACTCTCAAAACCAGCGCCATATGGGTGAACTTTGGGATAGCACATCAAAACATCCAATCTAGCAAGCTGCTTCTTGGAAAGATGATCAAAGATAACCAAAAAGCGCAAAGTAAAACTGGATACAAGCTAGATGTTTCCTCAAAAACTAAACCGGTACTAAACTCCAAGAAATTGCAGGCTTGAGTTATACAGTCAATAAGAACGGCCCTAGCAAAATGAGAAGAGACTTTATAACCAGCTAAACAAAAACCCAGCCTAGATCAACAGTTTCTATTCCAAGAGTTCTTTTGAAGTTTTAGCCATTGAAAACTGCAAACACTTCAATACTATCTATAAGCAGTCAAAATGATATCAAGTATCGTACCTTCAACAAACGCGATATCAGTAGTTGGTCTATCGTACATTTACCAATAAACTCACAGAAAGGTGACATCTTGCCAACAACTGTCTCGATATTTCCAAGGAGCCATTGATGCATAAGGAGACGAACAAAAAAAAAGAAGGTACAGTTTTATCAGGAAATGCCTCAAAATGGCAGTAACAGGTGAACATCAACCTCTGAATCAAAATTTTGAAAACAATATTCATCCACTCTGAAATCTGAACAACAACATCATCTCATGCTCAGATAGGTGACAGAGAGTTTTGATATCTGAGGAATGTCATTATTGTTTAACACAATCCTAGACTAAACAGAAGGCAAGTCTTGTAAAAATACCTACCTGAATGAAGCTCAAGCCCCACTACAACCACCCAAACAACTCAACAAGGAGTGTCATCTAGTGCAAAAGTTCAGAGCTCAAGAAAAGAAAAAGAAAAAAGAGTGGAGTGACATACTTTTTAATTTCTAAAATTGTTAAGCTCTGAACTCGTGAGTCTCGATAATTCTCCTTAGAAGCCACTTCCGATTATTTTCTGTCTATGAAGCACGGATACGGATACGGATACGGAATACGGGTACGATACGATACAAATACAGCGATACGATAAAATCTAAAAAATTAGGATACGAGTACGGCCAAGATATGACTATCATAAAATATATTTAATATTTTTATTATTTTCAACCAACTTAACACTTATATATTTTGGTAGTTTTTTAACATATAATAAAAAAAATTAGTAATTCTTTTTAGTTTTAAGAAAATATATATCATGTCGCTGTGGTATATTCACAAAATGAAATAACTAATTAAAAGAATTAAAACTAATATTTACCTAGTATTTAGAAGTAATTTTTGTTAAAATTATAAAGTAATAACTTTATTTTATGCTCTTTTGACATGTAATTATAGATAATACTTTAAAAACACTTATGTTTCTTTGAAGTAATATGATTTTTTTGTTAATATATTGTATGGTATGTGAATTCGAAAAGAGATGAAAAAAGTTCAACTAAAAAATTATATATATTGCTCTACTACAAAAGTATTTGTGAAATATCCTAATATTTAATTATTATCGGATACGTAGAAAGTGTATCTGATGCATATCTTCGAGTATCCAACGAGTATCATATCCGATACGGGTACGTCAACCTCAACAAAATATCCGTGCTTCATAGTTTTCTGTCAAAGCTCCAAGTAGTATTGAACCAGCATCCATTTGATTCAACCTAACTCAGCCAAAATATGGGCTACTCAACTCAAACCAAGAGAACAAGCAAATTCAAAGCTGCCTTCCCCAGAACAATTAAGGTAAAGACAGCCATATTACAACAGTGTACATAAAAAGGGTGTGAAATTATTACAACAGTACAAATCATTCATACACTAGCCACTTCGATGTACTAAACTAGCCAGTATAACCCAGAAAAATCCCACAATCAGATTTTCACACCTTATATCTTAGTTTTTTGAATAATCAAAGATGATTCCACGAGCTAAACATATAAATGGATCATAGATAACAAGCACTCAAGCAGATAAATAACAGACAAATCAACACTTTGACAACTCATGGCAGAGAATTGCAGCCTTTCTTCACCTCTGTAAACCAAATTTAAACCAAACACACTGTCAATCAGTAATAATGTGCCTATAGGATTAACCAATAATTTCCTAACCATCTTAAAGAAAAAACTTGTATCAAACTCTCCAAACTTCAGATGAAAGTTGCTTTTACGTCAGGAAGATCTGCCTTTATTATCAATGCCATAATAATCACGAAGAGCATAAGAACTGTAAGAAAATATTACCTTAGCAGCCACTTCTAAAGATTTGCGGTAAAGATCATTCCCCGGATCCTACCATGGACAAATAACTCTATTATATCTCCATAAACACACCATTGAATTACAAATTTAACAGTCTTGTAATGCCATGCAATGATAGCTAGACAAGAAAGTAATACTCATGAAAAAAAAAAAACGTAAACAAACTGCATCCAAGTTTACCTCATCAACTGCTTGCTCAAAGTATTGAGATGCCTTGTCAAAGTAAGCCTTGGCCTCATCTTGATCAGGAGTCAGAAACGCAAAAGAAGTATGTGCATTCCCCAAGGACCAAAGTGCATCATGCTTTTTTGGATCAACCATCAATGCCTCCTCAAACTTGGATATCCCATCTACATTAATCAAATCATCGAACAAACAAAGAAACTAATTTAACAGCATTTACTGACATAAAAAGATTTCGCTTCCCCTTTGGCCCTGAGCAAAAAGTATCCTGTAAACATCCAATTCTAAAAAATAAGTCCCATCCATTGACTCAGATTTAATCTTTATGGAATATTTTTGCCATAAGACTGAATCATCAGAAACAAATACGTACAAGCATTGTTAATTAAAGATTAGCAAATTCACTATTACATAACTAACAGGGAGAAGGTTAAATCCGCACCTTGCAGCATTTTCTTCGAATCGGTAACATTCTGGAACTGTGACAACTCTACCAACGCCTCTCCCCATTTTATGATGTTCTGAACAATTAAAGCCCAAATCTTTCTTGTCAAAAGATTGTGATAAAATCTAAGTACAAGAAACAAAACAACAAAGAGTAGGTATATATTTGAATATGCATAGATATGCCGTGTAGAGTATACGAACCCCGGCATCGAGTGGATTTTTTGCATATGTAGCCTCGGATGTTTTGCGAGTGTGCTCGAAGAAGAAAAGTCGATCGAAGTCACTTTGCATTTCCATGTCGAATACTGCCGGCAACGGACCGTCGCTCGTACGGAAAATCTACGACCAGTTTAGGGTTTCCACTGGGTACTTCAATTCTCGGAGAACCTCTTTATAGCGGTTCCCCGTTCCAACTTGCAAACTGTGGTCTACACGTGCGACGCAACGAGAGGAGGATTCCGTTTGATTGATTTTAGGATTATTATTAAAGTTTAATTTTTTTTAAAAAAAGTACTGAAAAGTTAAACTCAATTACGACTTGAACTTACGGTTGGCCCGATATTGTAGACTGAAGATTTTCTCAGACTGAAGGTTGCATTCAACTCCTGTCCAACAGGCTCGACTTAATAAAACCCATCGAAATGCAAGTGCTCAAGCCATTTTTCCCACAATTTGACTGTTTAACAAAATTGGGTCATTGGCTATACTTTTCACTTTCACAATCAGGTCCAAAATTGTTAGACATTGATGAGGGAAAATTTGATAGACCATGAGCTCGACTCGTGGAGCTAGCACCTCGCCAACTCTTCATGATTGACCATTTTAACTCAACTCTAAGAAGAAGTCTACCTGCACTACGCAACTAGGATCTCGATATTCTCTCAAATTCAAACCAATGAATAATTATTCTCCTAAGGTGGGGCTATTTATGGAACAACTAAGTTCACATTTTTTATACTCACTCCATTAGTAATTAAGTTCACCTTATTCTACATACTCCTTTTTAAAAAAAACAAAAAAAAAAAAAAGCAAACCAAAACCAAAAAGGAAAAAAAAAAGCAAAAATTAAAAGAATAAAAAAAATTACAAAACACAAAATCATAAGACACAAAATTGAACATAACAAAAAACAGGCATCAAGCACATACACAAAATCAAATAAGAAAAAAAATAATAATTATAGATGCAAAATCTAAATAAGATCAAAAAAAGAACAAATAATTTAAAAGTATATATATACATATACACATATAAATTTTAAATAAAAATTATTAAACTTGACAAAAATATAAAAACATATCGAAAATAATGAAAATTCATACAACAAATATGAAATCAAACATACAATTGAATTGAGAAGTAATACTAATATGTATTTCACTAGAAAAATTTATATTGAAAATATATATTTTTGTAAGTGTATGAAATGAGATAGAAAATAAAATTCTAATTATGACAAAATATAATGTGGGTTTACTTATTAAATGGAGTGTATATAGTATGAGGTGGATTTAATTACTAATTGTGTGAGTACAAAAAGAATAGGCATAATAGTTTGATAATGAGAAATTAAATAAAATAGAAATAGCCCTGCTCATTCTCCAAATGGTAACATACTGCCTATAAAAAAGGGGAGAGACAATGCAAACAGGTAGGCAATTCAAGCTCCAACATAACATTCAATTTCCCCATCCTATTTCTAACTTAAATTAACGAAAGGTCGACTCCAGAGTCTCTCCTATTCTTGGCTTGCTTTTTTCGGATGTTTTACTTAGATGTTCAATGATCAATCTCTAGCATCAACGGTTGTACACTATCTTTGAGAAATGTTGAAATTAATAGTCATAACAAAGTTCAAGGATCAGCCAGATAACAAACCCATTGAGGGGAAGTGATTTCAAATTTGAAATCATGAGTGTGTACTAATTTACAAAACACCAGCGATTTCAAATTAAAAATGCCTCTAGAAGAAATGGAAAGTTGTGTTCACCTAGTATAACGCCTAACCCTCATATCTTTACAAAACTCCGGTGATTTTAACAAGCCTTTAGAAGAAATGGGAAAGTGTGTTTACCTAGTAGAACACCCAGACTTTACATCTTTATAAAAAAAAAGTACAGATTCGCAGGATTTGAACTACTAGCTGGAGTTCTGATGAGGATTTTCCACATAAATAAATTAGGTTCGTGGGTGTTGTTTGAGAGCCCGAGTGCTTAATTGAGGTCAATGAAGTTTAATGCTCTGTGATAGAAAAGTGAAAAGATAGAAAGTTAGAAGCATGGAAAATTACACGGATAAATAAAATATTATATTTGGTAAAAAAGAAAAATATAATAGATAGAAAAGTTGATGGATTAACTTTTTTTCCAACTTATCAAAATCAATCATTCCAAAATCGGAAAAAAAGTAGATGAAAAGTTAATTATTTTTGTTGAGATGTATTTTATTTGTCTATATATTATGTATACATTAATTTTATATAAAAATACATTGATAAAATATGTATATATATTAAAAAAAATAAAAATAAAAATTTTAAATTAAACAAAATATTTTTTCATTTTAACTAAGGATGAAAATTTTTGACTTAACACAATAACAAGAAATATAAAATATTCATAATTTTATGACTCAACACGAATCTGACACGACACGACTCGATTGTTACTCCTAATCTTAGCCAGCACAAAAAAAAATTAATCATTTTTATTTTTTATCTATCCAATCAAATACAAAAGAAGGAAAATGTATCTCTTATACTTTTCATTATTTTCACTTTCCATCATTCCTACCAAACAGAGTATAAAAGAAAGCACAACGACAGTAATTAGCCTGTGGGATAATTATCGTCAATGCGGACTATCGCAGCCGTTTGGTTGTTGATTTGTTTTGAGTTAGTGCATTGATGTGCATTTCTCATCAAGGAGAGACACATGCGGAGGCTGTTGGTGGCGGGGTGAGGAAGATTTGTGAAGGGTGCATAGTAGCGTGAGAATGAGTCTTTCGAAGAAGGGATGGTTTTGGTGGGAACATTTGGTGTTGGGCTCACTTAGACTTGGTGCCATTGAAATACCTATGGAAACACTGGGATGAACTTTTTTGAGTTTTGGTTGGCTAAATAATCCATTTGAGGACACCCCCACCGAAAGACGGTGACAAACCAATCCATGACCTGGGTGACCAGAGTCAATTTTTAACCTTAGAAAAAATTTCGATCGCACCCCTTTTAGTTTATTATATCTTCAAAGATAATTTTTCTATTATCAAAAACATCACTGACACCCCTTCTAATTTATATTTAAACATCACCAACACCCCTTACCATTAAACTACCATTTCTAACAAAAAAAATTCATCTAAAATACCAAGAATGTCCCTACATAAACCTCACGTAATTTTTTCACATAAAATTTTATTAAAATTCAAGCCGATTAAAATTTATTTTTCTACATATTAAAATTTAATTGAAACTGATTAAATTTTATTTTTTTTAACGTATTAAAATTCGAGTTTATTAAATTTTATTTTTTATGCATTAAAATTTGAACCGATTTGAACTCTACCCGAGTTATTAGCGCCGATTAAAATTCGCTTTCGAGTTGATTATTATTTATATTTTTTTACTTATTAAAATTCGTGTCAATTAAAATTCGATTTATTAAAATTTGAGTCAATTAAATTTTTTTTTTTTTTTATGTATTAAAATTTGGACTGATTCAAATTCAATGCGAGTTAATTAAAATTTGATTTGAGTTTATTAAAAATAATTTTTAATTGACTTAAATAGAATTTTAATTAGCCCAAATTTTAATACGTAAAAAAAATTCAAAAATAGATAGGATCTCATTGAAGATATGTTTATTTAGAAGGGTATGGATGAAATTTACCCTCAAATATATCATAGACATTTTAATAAAAATGCATTCTAGTTAATATTTTTAAGTGAAAATTAAAGTTGAGTCCTCCTAAATTGACTTATAATGATTTGAGTCTTATAAGGAAACTTATTTGGGATAAAGTTCATGTTTAAACTTATATGTAGATACTTAAGTTTACTTATTTTTTAAATCTCAAAATTATCCTAACGGTGTTAGTTTTGTCTAGTTTTTGAAAGCCACATAGGTTACATTATTGAACTATATATAGAAACTCTTGATTGAGTTCTATATGAAAATCGTTCATTAAATATTATGATAATTAACGAAAATTTTATATGAAAGTTATATATTTTGATAGTTATATATGGAAAACTTAATGTACGAATAAATTGTTGGTCTATTAAGTTAAAATCAAATCACAAAAATTCCTTAATGACAGTAATGCATGATATAAGAAAAGCTAAACAATATCAACAAAGTTCAGTAACACGAATGTTAATATATAATAACATTCATGTTACTATATGATCGAAGTTACAATTAGGGTCGTGTTACCAGTAGAGTTGTGTTACTATCCTGACACTAATGTTATTATAGTGAATTTAACATATAATTGCAAACCTTAAAACATATACTATGTAAAATACACTTTAATATTCACAGTAACATCAAAATTTTGTGCTCAGTAACATATCTAATTTTACAAAATACAAGACAATAAATTTTTTACAGTAACATTAACTTTTGAATGATTTTAATGAAAATACGATTCACAAATTAAAAATTTACAAAATAACGAGTAGTAACACACAATCGACAGTTGAATTACGATACTCAACACCAATTGTGAACATCAAGACATCAAAATTCTGAACTCTATTTTTTGGTTCACGTATAATAGCATGAACTTTTTCCACAGTAACACAATCATAGAATACTTGATTGTCTTACTCAACAAAAAAATAAACAAAATTGAAATCTATAACACTTTAATTTAGTACTAATGTATGAGTTCTCTTAAATATTGGTTACAAGGTTAATGCTCACTTTGACAAAATTAAATCCCTAATTGTTATTACTTTGTTACCATATTATTATTTTTTTGTGAATATGTTACTATTTTTTTAATGATCATGTTCATGTTTATGTTGAGTATGTTACTATTGTTATTTTTTAAATATTAATATTTTGTCGATAGAGTCCAAAGTAAACTGAAAATAGTAAATTGAAATTGTATTTTATGGAATGTAATAGATTTGAAATTTGAATATGAACTATTTTAGTAAATGTTGATTTCTTGTTTTTTGAATAAGGAAACATTGTGGCTTAGAAGATTGTAGTCGGATTTGAAGACGATTATAAATGAGATGTATATGACTGGTTATTGTGTCCATAAACGTCATTTATAACATTCATACAGAGTAAGGGTACAATAATAAAATTGACTAAAAACGGACTTAAAATTAAATAAGTTTTCTTAACAGACTTATATATAAATAAGTCCATATATGGGGAGCGACCTCCAAATTTTCCTATTTTTAATCTGATAAAGGATGTCAGTGAAGATTCAAAAAATAGAGGGAGTGTCCTTGAAGATATAGTAAATTAGAAGGAGTGTGGTTGAAATTTTCCCTTAACCTTATTATGCATTTATCATGATTTATAACTTATTTCATTGTTAAACAATATATGATGCTTGAATTAGATAACTCCTTAAATTTAAGTCCAAACCTTTATAATCTTTAAAAATAATTTATTCAAAACAAAAAAAAGGGACAAATCGGTTTATACTCCAAAGATCGACATGACTTGATCTATATCCTTTAAGTTGACTTGTAAACATCATGTTTTCTGATAAAAACCTCTATATATTATTGTTGTAAGAACAATCAACTAAAATATAAAAAGTGAAGATGAAACAGTATTACAGATATTGGTAGAAATAATAGCTGAAACTGGCCCATTCATAACCGTGGCAGTTGCAATAAAAAAAGGCAACTTTCTGGGGGCATAGGAAGTCCTGGAGTTATATTACTCTTAAAGGAGAATTACAAGCTACTACACATGCTGCAATGTTGGAACACATAAAGTCGCACTTGTCCATAACCATGATAATCAAAGTCATACGACAATTACTAGCAATAACACAGACTGGAGCATCGTCCATGTTTATAGACGAGCAAACTCTGTTGCCCATAAACTAGCCCAATAGGTTAAGAGAATGAAATTCACGGAATCAATTCCGACATATCATCTCCAAAAATTGATGAAGGAATGTGCTGAAAGGGATGCCATCACTGCAGACATGCAACCACCTTAGATTCAAGCAGTAAGACTAAGTAGCATTTCTTTATTTTCTTCTTTACGTTGTTGTATATTTTCTCTAATTCCTCACTTACAAACTCAGTTTATGAATATATATAAAAAAAAAAAAAAAAAAACCACTAAAATACTAATGAATTATACATCTATAATTCGGAGAAAATATATTGAAAAAATAAAGAGAAACTCAATCTAATTTAAAAAGAAAGGAGTCACATTTACTAAAAATAAAGATTAATACACTAACCTCTCAAGGAATTCGAATTAAAAGTAAGACTAGAATATTGGTTCCACCGCCAATGCAATGCTATTTTGCTCAACAAATTTAGGGTTAATTGCACTGGAGGTCTTCAAAGTATAGAATTTATCTTATTTTGGTCTCTAATGTTTCAATTGTATCATTTTAGTCCTTGAAGTATTGAATATATTTTTATACGGTCCCTCAAGCAAACAATGTCCAAATTGTTAACGATTTTTTATTATAAATTTATCACATAATATTTAAATATGAACAAAAAAATAATTTGGATAAGTCTTGAACAAATTTTTACTCAAATTTTAGTTAAATAACTGCCTAAATTACATAGTCTTGATCATGAGTTATCCAAATTTTGGTAAAAAAATACCCAAATTACATATCTTTTTTGTCAAGAGTACTTAAATTTTGTTTAAGAGGTATCAAAATTATTTTTTGTTCATATTTAGGTATTATAGGATAAGTTTATGATAAAAAATATTAGTAATTTGGGCATTGTCTGTTTGAAGGACTATATAGAAACATATTTAATATTTTAAGACTCAAAATAATATAATTAAAATATTAAAAATTAAAATGAGACAAATCTCATATTTTGAAAGCAATTAACCCACAAATTTAAGTGCGGAAATATTATGGAACGATCCACCAAATTTCTGATCTATCCATCGATAAGATAACCACCTGTCAATACAGGTCCGACAATGGGAGCCACATAATGTTTTTTCGTGGCGGTGATGGCGTAGCTCGTCACAAACTGGGAACATTACTAGGCCCTTCTTCCTGTGCTCTCCACATCTCTCTCTGTCTCACTCTCACTCTCACTCTCACCGACACACACGCGCGCGCGCACACACACAGTCGCTTGCTCTGTCTTTCTCCGTCGCATCCTTTCTCAAATCTGCGCAGGTAAGTCCTAGACAATTGAAGATTAAAAATGCCGGGAATAAGAGGACCATCTGATTATTCACAAGAACCACCTCGTCACCCATGCCTTCAAATTAATGCCAAGGCAAGTCTCTCTCTCTCCCCCTCCTTATCTGCATATTGCATATGCACATCGAAATGCTTCTGAATTGATTTGAATTTGAAGTTGTTTTTACATGATATGATCGGATTGTCCTATTATAGTCTTGAAGCCTTATCTGTGTGTGTGAATCTGGGTGTTTGTCCTTTATTCGTACTTTCTAGTTGGCGTTTTCTCTGATGTCATTGTAATTTGTTTTAAATTTGCTACTGCTGCACTCACTGCTTTAATTATATGGTTTTTTGCTGGCCATCAAGTCATAATTCATAACAGAGTTCATTTGTTTCGGAAAAAACAAAGGCAAAAAATAAAACATCATGGGGATTTTTCGTACACGCGGGCTCATTTTGGCCACTTTTTACGGTTCTAAAATTATGTCGGTTAATTTTAATTTTATTGTCTGTGTACACTTGCTTATAATGAATCGATAACTTCTTATCATGGGAATTAGAGTGAATGAAGCTATTGAATAACAAAATTGTCCTAAGGTTTTTATTCCATAGATGAGGGGGGAATATAGTTTATGATACGATTATTTAAAAGCCCATGCATTCTGGGATTTTTATTATTTTTTGTCTATTGCATGAATGTTACTTGCTGAGGTACTTTTGATTTTTGACTATCCTTTTCACTAGCATAGTATGAATAAATTTTTTTTTGCTTGCTATTTTCTATCCTTCATTAACTTTTTATTTATAAGCAATTAATTTTCTTCCATTTCTAGTGCAGGAACCCTTTAATGCAGAGCCACCTCGCCCAGTCTTGATTTCCTCTTACGTGACTCCTGTGGATTTCTTTTACAAGAGAAACCATGGACCGATACCAATAGTTGATGACATAGAAAAGTCATTTCCTATCCTTTTTCTTTGTCTCTTTTTATTTATCAGAATTTGTATAATGTTTGGAGTCTATATGTTTGACATACTGACCACCTGTTTTGCTGAGCAGATATTGTATTTCCATTACTGGTCTGATTGGAAATCCCAAAAAGTTGTTCATGAATGATATTTTGTGAGTTGTGGGTTTATATTCTATGATGTTAACATTTCTTACCCTTTTACGAAGACAGTAAAATAATGTTCTTGTGTTGTCATTTATATACTAGGAAGCTTGCAAAGTATAACATCACTGCCACTTTACAGGTAAGTTTTCTACATACCTTGTGGGCCTATTGTTCTTGAACTTGTCTGGTTGGAGACTCTGCTGTTAGGTTGTAAGATAGACTATGGGTCAGGTATGTCCTTAATAAATAATAAATTGTTAATAAGGCCTGTTTTGACTTGTATAGTGTGCGGGTAATAGGAGAACTGCAATGAGCAAAATCAGAAAGGTGAAAGGAGTTGGCTGGGGTGCTGCTGCTATAGGAAATGGTTAGTTTCCTGACCAGGGATTCTTGATTCAATGTTTTGGCACTATTTTAAATGTGCAGAATTTTGAACGATAAAAGTAGGGACTTGATGTGATTAATCATTGGATGATCTGCCTACAGCAGATTGTTGGGTTTGTAATCATGCAGAAAATGATGACAACTTGAGGAAACTCACCTTTCATGTATTTGCTGATGCTACGGGCTGGAATATGATATAATCTGGGATTTAGTATGTTTCCATGGGCAGTTCATTATCTGCATTCTAACAGGATCTAGAGTCCTTCAGCCCCTATTGAGTCCAACACATGGAACAATTCAGGAAATCCACAAGTTAATTAATACAGAATCACCCATTAGTTTGTGTGCTCAAAGTAAAGTATTGGGTTTGGCTGGAGTTTTCTAAATTGATAGGTGCAATGAAAAATTTACCCCTAAATAGGAAAATCTGAATCATTATTATGCTATGTATCTAAAGCATACATACTGAAGCTGCTTTAATTGGCCAAGGACAATAGGAAGATCAGATAGGACATGGGTTAGCTAGTGGGAAAAAGACGCACTGATTTGTTATTTAACAGAAAATGGCTCAATCTGACTCCAGATTAGCAATAATGGTGATGGTTTAGGTATATAATAATTAGAAAAATCTTCTGCTTTTGTAGCCCGCTTTGTGATGTTAAGTTAGATTTTATGATGCTGTATGATCATATTTAGATGCAGCGATTAATGCTTTGTCCAACTATTGGTGCAGCTTTGTCCTTTCTGTCTAGGTTTTCATGGTGACGATTATTAAATTAAAGGAACTGGTATTTTTGGCCAATATGTGATCACAAAGATATGTACCCACTATTTTGTGGCTCTGTTAAATATGAAAATTGACATTTGTTTTTAGCTCCTGACTATGAAAAGATGAAAAATACATGTGTATGCCATTGGAACTAGTCACTAAATGGGACAAGGGTGTGTGCAGTTGATTATTTTTTTTCATTCTAGCTTATGTGATGATGGATGTGTCTTTTAATAGATATTTGATTATGCTTAATGATTTTTCTTGTTCTATCATTGTTTTTAACTTATCATATGCCTTCACAACTCTTTCAGCTGTCTGGGGTGGTGCCAAATTGGCAGATGTTCTTGAACTGGTTGGAGTACCTAAGTTGACTGGCACCACACCATCAGGTGGAAAGCATGTGGAATTTGTAAGCATTGATAAGTGTAAGGTTATTGTCTTCGCCTTCTGAATCCTATTTGCATGAAATTTTAGAGCCCACCACACACATTAAAAAAAAATCCAAAACACAGGGGAGAGAGAGAAATCTCTTTACTACATTACAGATAATGATTGGACTTCTTGACTTTGTGATAATGGTTATCTATAGGAGGAGAATGGGGGTCCTTATAAGGCATCAATCCCTTTAAGTCAGGCCACAAACCCTGAAGCTGATGTTTTACTTGCATATGAGATGAATGGAGAGGTAACATGTACTTATTTATTATATGTTAACTACTCTTGCTTGTTTTGTTATAAATTTCATGATGTTCTCAGTTTTTATATACAAGTACTTTTTTCATACCACAGCGTTAATTCATTTGTTGTGCTACAAAAATTTGAGTTGGCAAATCCTATTGTGTTTTGTGGGTTCCTCTCGTGTCAAGATATGATTATTCCAATAAATTAGTCAATCCAAACACACACACCATCGTTTGATTGTGCCAGGTTCTTTGACTCTAATATATAACTTGTTTCTGACAAGAGTGAGACGGCACAACACGTAGTCTAAGATTCTTGTTTTGCACAAGGCTTTCATGACCACTGAAAATTATGTAGCTCAGCTGTGTAATTTTTGTATGTTTACTTTTATGCCTTTCCTTTCTTCTTATTAATGTCTTCTTACACTAGTACTGATTTACTGGTCTGCAATGGTGCCAAAGCCCATTAACAGGGATCATGGCTATCCATTGCGTGTAGTTGTCCCAGGTTTCATTGGGGCCCGTTCTGTTAAATGGCTTGAGTCCATCAATATAATTCCCGAGGAATGCCAGGTTGACAAATTGATTATTCTTTTTCCTTTAAACGTGGTCATACCTCCTTCTCCTCAGAGTATTTTGAGACTGAAATTGAATTGGCACCGTGCAGGGCTTTTTTATGCAAAAGGACTATAAAATGTTTCCGCCATCAGTTAACTGGGACAACATCAATTGGTCTACCCGGAGACCGCAAATGGATTTCCCCGTTCAGGTGTTTGCTTGATTTTCCTTTTTTTTTTTTTCTTTTTTAATAGGATATACGATTTACTATGATAAATTGATAATCTGCGATCATAACTACGGAGGCATTCTTGTATGATTTCAATGCAATAAAGTGATGTGATTCTAAACTTAGACCTGTGGCCCAATTGAAAAATAATGTCATACAAATCATGAAGATGAGATCATTTATTAATCCATGTTTAGAGGTTCCAGTTTTGTGTTTGTCTGATCTATTTTGTGTTTGGAAAACATTGTGTAAGGATCTACTGTTACTATTGCAAGTTACTGGCTGACACTTGGAGAAATAGTGAGAAAGTAATGCAATGTGAGATGCAAATTGCTGTTAAATCTTTAAGAAATTGAAGCTGATGCTTGGCTACGGTTCTTTAACTATTACTGAATTGTTTGCTGCTTGACAGTGTGTAATATGTTCCTTGGAGGATGTGAACGTGGTAAAGCACGGAGAGGTGAGTAATATCTGCAATTTCAGGTTCTGATGATTATATGTGGGGAATAAATATACCTCATTCATTGTGTGTAGTGCATGTATACAAGAGCCTTGAGAATTGTACAAGCTCTACTTTATATTAAAAATTAGATGAGACAGTGGATGTGGGGAAAGCTTTAATAGTCCCTTGCTTGCATGAGTGTGTTGGTGGCATGAATAAGGGACTAAGGGAGAATCAATTCCCAAGTTGATGAAATTAAAAGGATCTTACCCAAAACCTCCTGAAATTTAGCTCTGGAATCATGTTGAATAATCTAACTCAAAGTTCTACCAATGTGATATGTTGCACAGATAACTATTAAGGGATATGCAGTTTCGGGTGGTGGGCGTGGGATTGAGAGGGTAGATGTGTCTATTGACGGTGGCAAAACCTGGATGGAAGCCTCCAGATACCAGAAAACTGGTATTCCATACATTTCCGATGATACAAGTAGCGACAAATGGGCATGGGTGCTTTTTGAGGTTACGACTGATATTCCCTCGATTTCAGAGATAGTTGCCAAAGCGGTAAGTACCACAACAGAATTGTTTACTCAGATTTGGTTTTTTGGTAAAGAAAGGCCGTATCACTTGCAAAAATCACAATTGAATGAACTCGAGGACACATAATTTAGTCTTCATTAATGGACAGGTGGAGGGGGTAAATTTGGTATAGATTTAACTTTTGGTATTATTTACACAAACAGGTTGTCCTAAGTTTTGAACTTACAATGACAATGTATGAGTACAATATAAAACTGGCATAGGTTAAATAGTGTTATCTTCCTACAACCTAAAGTTGTAGTAGTTTGACTCAGTGCTGACTTGAGCCCTACTGTAGTTTCTGCTTGTGGTTCTGCACTGATTTGTCTAGTATACCATCAGGTGGATACGGCTGCAAATGTCCAACCCGAAAATGTTGAAGTCATTTGGAACTTGAGAGGAATACTGAACACTTCTTGGCACAGGGTACATGTTCGGGTTGGTCACTCGAATCTGTAGGCTTAATACAAGAGAACAGTATAGTATATAGAGTATCTTTTTCAATGTGATGATGCCTTTGGACTCTGGCTTTGTTTCTCATGGGTGTATTTTAAAATTCTGGTATTTAGCTAGACTCTTTTGATTTACCAAGCATTAATACGGATTACCTTTTAGTTGAAAGGTGCAAGAAATGCATTATATGCGTATCACCATGCTTACCGGTTCACGAGTTTTTGGATTAATTCTGAGATTATTTCTTAATCCATTTGTTGGGTACTGTAATTTTTTGCATAGGCATGAGGCGAGCAGATTGCCCCAATGGCTAAGCCATATTATCTATATTTGAAACATCCCCTACAATCCTCCTCAATGGTAATTCAAATGTCATGAATTTAAACAGGATTTTTGTTAGATGTTGTTATTATGTCACAGTGATCATTATTTTGTGTGCATTGCTATGGTCACTAGAAAGATTGTTCTGGGTTTGAAATCACGAACCGATACGTATCATTGTTGGCCCGCCCAGTCTGTCAGCACCTAATCTAAGCCTAATTGGATTTGAGGGAAAAATGTTTTAGTTCATCATTGTTCTTGAGGATTGTTTCTCTACTTTTCCGTTGAGAAGAATAGTCCTCAAAGAACATCACATTCACAATGGTGTGTTGTTTTTTGGCCATTAGGTTAACCGTCGATCCTATGTGTGAGTTTGTTTAAGGTGTACAATATATTCTTAAGCTGAATAACAGTCCGCGAATTATATGCTGTAATTGTTTGACTTTGTGGAAAAAAGGAATTTTGGGTCAAGCTCCAAATACTTTTTATTCGATCAATATTCATAATTTTTTGTCAATATATAATTACCTCAAAAATCTCAAAATCATAAAATTTTTAACTAATGCACTCCATACAAATTTTATGTTGGCAATTTTTGAACTTAAAAGCCATGAACTTGAAAAAAAAAAAAAGAAACTTTCATATAAAAGGGAAAGTTTTTCCTATTTTCTCCCCTTGATATCATTACTTCCATTTTCTTTAATATTTACTGTACACAATTCAGTTAAAAAAGAAAAATTTGTCACTAATTGTAATCGGACTCAACCGTTAGAGTGGTTTAGTGATTAAAGATGTCCTCTTATAAACAACAAATTGAGCTCGAACGGTGATAAAATTAAAATGGGCCACGTTTGTATTAAGTTGGGCCCAGCTCTCTTACCAGTAACGGGTCAGTGAACAGATTTTCTATCCCGAAACGCGCTTAAACCCTAAGACAGACTTTCTCTGCACCCATCCGTCTATATAATGGGGAAGAAGCGTTCTCGCTTGAGACTCTGTGGCGAAACAAAATCAAAGGTAAGATAGTATTATTGGTATTTCATATATGCATGAAGTAGATCCACTAACAACCAACTTTAGCCTCTTATGTTTGTTTCGATTACGAAACCTGATGTAGATTAAATCCTTAGATTTTGTTTCCCAAGTGAAGAAATCTAATCGTAAACATCAGGGAAATCACCTGCATCATTTTTGGGTGAGCCTCCATTGCCTTTACCCTTGGCCGGGGGTTCAGTAAATGATGCTACATTACAAAACTTAAGCTAGCCATTTATTTATTCTTTGAATATTTCCTGGGTTCTTCGTTATTTTTGATAGAATTTTGATCTATTTTCGTACACAAATAAACTTCTGGTTTTCAATTTTTGTTTTATTTTTTGAATATTTGTTTTCAAATTTGGTCTCTGTTGGTTATGATATGGGGGTGATGAATAAATCAGACGGATTCCCACTGATTTCTTATGTGATGAGTAACCAGCTACTTCTGACCCATCATAACTTTCGGTTTCTCTTTACTTACATTTTATTTTTTTTCTCTTGTTTTATATTTATGTTTTGTGTCGGTATATAACGATTCATTTAAGTGTATGATTTGAATCTGGTGTGCCTTTGATGAGTGAATAATATTTGCTACTCTTGATGGGTTTTTCTCAAACCCCATCTGATGATTCCTATCCACCAAGATCTCTGAGGCCGCCTCTTGAAATTTTCTTGCTTCTGTATCGGCTTGTTGTTCTTATATATCTTTTTGTCCAGTTTTGTTTTGATTAGAGTCCATGGGTGTGATGTTTTTGAGTCTGAGCCTTTATCAGTTTTGATCCAGAACAAAATAAACACAAGTGTGCCCAAATAAAGTTCAAAACAAAAATTAGACCAAGTACATAACAAAAATTAGTGTGAAATGTCTAATTTCAATTTTAATTAAATAGTGTATAATCATATTAATTTGATTGATGAACAATAAAGTACGACAACATGATAAAGAGTTGAGATTAGTTTTAAATTAGCTAGATTCATATGGAATTAAACATGTGGGAGCTGCAAAAAGAACAAAAAAGGAAGTAGTTATGAGACTGCCAAAACTATTCTATTTGCTTTGTACACAATAAAATCAGTAGGAGTAAAATATAAACGTTGCAGCAATTCGAAGGGGAGTGGCATTAGGGGTGGAAGAGCTGTTCATTCTACGGTTTCACTCTTAACGGCTCTATTCAACTAAAAATTTTTATAAATATAAAAATTTTACAAAAATTTTGGAAGAGAAAATTTTTCAACTAAAAATTTTTATAAATATAAAAATTTTACAAAAATTTTGGAAGAGAAAATTTTTCAAAGTTCGTCGTGAAAATTGTTAATTTTGTTTTAAATTTTGTGGTTGGTAATGACAGATATAGAGAAGGAGACACAAAGAGAGAGAAAGGGGAAGGAGGCGCAGAAGGGAAGGGGAAAGGGAAGTCAAATTGAAAGATTGTAATAAAGTGGATACATAGAACAAAATAATGTAATAAATTGAGCCTTTTTAGATAGACATTATTATAATTTGATATTTGAATTATTGATTTAATAATTTTTTATGTTTTTTCAAATTGATAAAGCAAAAGAAATGTTTGCTAATATTATTGGAAGACTATTTTAATATAAGCATTGTTGAAATATATTGAAAATGGAGTAGAAATGAATTGATAATCTCACCACCAATAAGAGGGCAAAAATCCATTCAAGTAGTAGTTCTACTAAATCAATTGACTTAAATTATGTTGAATTTTACTTTTCAACTCCATATTTAGTGGATGAAATTAAATCATCGTCTACTCTTAATTTCGATAGGTCATTGGGTAGAAAGGTTTCAAAGAAATAACTTAAAAACAAAGAGAAACAAAATGGTATTCAAGCATCACTAGATTATCACCATTGAAATCAAAGAATAGAAGTGGAATGACAAAAATTTGAGCGACACAGACAAAATTTATAGCAATATTGTAGGTAGTTAGAAATTGAAGAAATGCAGGGGCAAGAATTTGAAAGGCAGAATGAAATGAAAATCATGAAAACTGACACTACTGGTATGAACTTAATTTCTGTAACATATTAGAATAACTTGAAAATAGAGATTATGAAAAAGCGGAGTTTTAATTTTTAGTCTTTATTTATTATGTTATGATAGTATTTGAAATTTTTACTATAAAAATATATCTGTTAAATTGTGATCGTTATAAAAATTATATTCGTTAAAATATAACTGTTAAGTTTAATTATAATTTTTAATAAAAAATATTAACATATTAAAATAACACCTGTTATTGGAGCAAATTTATAATTCATATATGCCAAAAACACTATTTAAGGTTATAAATAAGTGATTTTCACATCTCAAAATGACAACTCTTTTTTAAGTTAAGTTGCTCTTAGAGATGGTTAGCATAGGGTTCCACTGCTTGTTGAGGATATTAAGACAAATGCTTTCTTTCAAACATAAAATGACTGATCCCCATATGTACGAAAAATTTAATGAGGAACCTTTCAACGTTCATTACAATTTGCAACTCATGCCTCAGGTTATCATACAGCACATTACTATATAATGTTGTCATCTTATTCTTTTTTCATGGACAGTAAATGCTGGCCAATGGAAAATTTAAAGAAGAAATGCAGATTGTAAATAAACTTAAAGGGACACATTAGAGGGCATCAATGGTTGTTATGTATTGAAAGAACAGGACAATGAGTTACTACCCTGATGCAAGAAACATGGCAGTGATTGATAACTATTGATGCTACAAATCTCAATACCAACAAAACAGTGAAGCATAACGTTCAAAAACAGCCAAACATATGATAATGCAAGAGAATAAAATTGATAGGTTTGAAACTAATGACAAATTGATTAAAAAAATTGAAATTAAAATTCGTAATAAGAACTAACAATAACAAAAATAAAAATAAAATTTAGTACGAGCCCATCTGAGTGCTTCATGTTAATTGTTACAATGAGCTCAAACAACTTATAATTTTTAGTATACAATAATAAATCAGCCGTTTCATCTAATGTAAGATGCTAGTGTATTCGGGATGGGTATTTAGAGTATAATTTGGGTTGCATAGCATAAGCAATTTTGGAGGGAAGAAAAATCCAATACAATGCAAAAAGTTGAATATGAACCCGTATCGTATTGTTTTGTTTACCGGTAATCATCTACAACAAAAATTGTATCCAACATGCCAAACTAAAAAATTATTGGGTCACTAAACATACTTTGAGAAAAACAAAGATCAGTACAACCCTTTTTATGGATATCTTAATGTGAATATTACTAACCTTGCAAGATTAAAAGACAAGTTTAGACAAATTAAAGCGGGCCAGGGGACAATTACATGGGCCTGATGATCAGCCTAGCTCAAAATTCCAAACCCAAGTCTGGTAGAGGACTTTAACTTAGGATATCGGCCCCGTGTTGGGTCTTCGAAGACCCAGCAATACCGGGTGAACCCGATACTCTACATTTTGAACCACTGACCCGTCCTTGGAAAATAGATGAGTCAGCTCAGTCTTAGACTCCCGGTGCCAGTTTTATCTTCTATCCTGAAGTAACCAAAAGCTCAAAAAACTCAATCCAATGGCCGCCACATCCATAGCCAATCTCTTCTCCTTTTTCACGCCTTCAAAGCCACCACCACCCAAAACTCCACCACCACAACTCTCTCTCTCCTCCGATTCTATTCCATCATCAAGAAACAGAGATGGGTTGGCCCCACTGGTTATATCCAATGACGGCCACAATTACCCTTTATCTTCATTATCCTCTTCATCTTCCAGTGAGCTGATGTCTGTGGTCTGTCCATCTCTTGCGTACTCCAATACCCTTTTCTTTAGATCGGCGTATAATGTTCAGGTCGTCGTGGACGATAACGAGCCCGAAGAGAAGCTTCTCAATCGGTTTCGCAGAGAGGTCATGAGGGCTGGTGTCATTCAAGAGTGTAAGCGTAGAAGGTTTTATGAGAACAAGCAGGACGAGAAGAAGCGCAAGACCCGTGAGGCTGCCCGGCGCAATCGTAGGAGGTCATCTCTCTCTCTGTCTCTGTCTCTCTACTCTGTACTCTCTTTCTCTTTCTTGTTCTTTGGTAATAAATCATTATTGCTTCCTGGAGTATTCAAATTATTTTTGAGAAGTTCCGGTTTTGTAGGGCACAACCATAAACAAGGAAACACAAAACTTAGGGTGAATAGAGGAAGAAATTCCACAGAAATCACTAAGGAGATCAAGGAAAATGGTTAGAGTCTTACAGAGGAGGGAGTTCACAACACCCAAAACCTCTTGTACTCAATGAGTCCGTCACAAAATTATACACACACACACACACTAGAAAGTAGAAACCCTAGCACATGATGGCTCTTTCATATTGGGTCCATTATACATGAAAAAAACCCATCAGACAATCCAAGTGCAATCCTTGTTTCAGGAGTTCAAAGATCAAACCGCCACAACTTTGCCCTAAGATCAAATTGAATTCAAGGCACCTCGATAACAATTCTTTACTGTTTAATACTATAGACTTTGAGGTCATTGGTAAGTCATTGCAGACTGAATGTTATCAAGATCTGTGGAATTGTTTCTGCTTTAGGTTTTCTCCTCTACTTTGGTAATGGGTTGCATGTTGTTACAAGGAATCCATTTACACTGATTTTTCTATTAAAGGAAATATTAAGTCATGTAATGAAAAATGAGCAATTTAATTTTGTAGGATATCCAAAAAAGCACATTATTTTTCCCTCTTTTCCTCTTTTCCTCTTTTATTAGTTTAGGAAGATTATGCTCAACTCTACTTTCTGGACAGGAAATTTGGCAACATGGGTCTCTATATCATATCTTGATGAGTAGTGGTGAGCTAAAAAGAGAGGTTTTGTAAATTGTTCTTAGTCTTCGCATTTTAAGTTTAACCCTTTCTGTCTCGGTTAGTATGGTATGCCTTTCAACAATCTTAAAGTGTGTTTGGGTGTGTCCATTTGTGTGGTTATACTTATGGTGATTCTCTTTTCCCTTGGCAGTAAAATTTCAATTTTCATTAACAAATATCCGAATAGCTTTTTTAGGAAAAAATATATTTTAATTTTCTGTCAGAAAATGATTGTTTGTTATTCATCTGCATATTTTATTATTAGACGCTTCCCACCAAGAGGTTCAATACAAGATAAGCAGGAAACCTCGAAGAACAAGAAGGAAGATGATGATGATAACTGGGACCTTCCTGAAGGTGGCCTTCCCAACTGACTCTAAATGGCTCTCTCTGTTGTTCTCATAGCTGGGACCTTCCTGTAGGGTTCTGCTCTTCTTGTGAGAGGCTTTTCAGTCCATGTAAGTTCCCAGGAGAATCAAGTTCTTCTAATTTCCCCCATACATTATTCACTTTTTTGGTATTTTGTAATGAAATCATGGTTTTTTGATCCTTGCTTTGTGTATGTAAAGCGACTGTTATGTAATTCTCACCTCAACCCTTGATGACAAGGTCTTGTCCCAACTCTATTATGTGATTTGACGAACAAAAAAAAAATGTCCGTTTTGTGATCTCATTTTTCCACTGGTTGGGATAGAATATAATTGGCAGAAATGTGGTTTGGTTGGAGATTTCTAATTGAGTCGAACTGTTTCACCTCTTAAAAATGAAGTTACTAGAAAAGGATTCTGGAAAAATAAATGGGTTGGGTACTGGGTAGTATGACTTGCCTCCTGACAGTCCTGAAGGTTTTACAACTACAAAACATAGATACAGGATGTTTTAGGAGAGGTGCTCATGAAGGAACTTAAGACCAGAGTGCAAATCATTATGTGGTTCCACTATTCCAATGAGTTGGAAAATTAAAATTGCAGTGGAATGTGAATAAGTTGAATCTGTTTGAGAAGATAGTATATAAGGTGGAATAACAAATTTTTGTATTGGATCATGGAAGTATTAATATTCTATACTGCAAAACTGAAGGCGTAAAATTGCAGTAGTTCAATACTTGTAGTTCAGCAGCTTGTTTAACCTTCGTGGAGTATTCTTGATTGCCTGTATAGTCTGTTAGGAAGATTATTGTTGTAGACCGTCTTAATGAAGAATTTGGATAAGGAACTCTATTAATACATTGTAAGTTTTCGAAATCACCATTAGAACATCAAATTAAAGTAACTCATTTGGTTTTTTGACTACTTTTTTTTTTTTTGGCTGGGCAAAGAAACATCATGTTTAGCAGTTTAATAAGGTTGTGATGCCCTTTGATAATATAAGAGTTTGACATTGTGTCTGTACCAAGCCATGTGCTTTGTTTGTAACGGTTCTCATAATCTCTGATTTCTTCAGTGACATAAATTGCAGCAACACCGATAGGAATTTATCCTGCCAAAAAAAAAGTGAAGAGACAGAAAAGGTGCAAGTTTCATCATTCTTCTGAATCAAACCCGAGTCTTGGACCATACTACCAGTCTTACATTGTCCATATTCTGAGACCAAGGCAACCGAAAAAATATGTCCACATATTTACTTTGCAATCCCAGTATTTTGGAGTTCATATGAACGTCCTTACTGTGTCACAGATCAACGGCACCTGGACGCTATTGCCTTTGTTTTCACAGAAAACAACCTCTACTGGGCTCTGCTCTGGTGTTGCAAATTGCCTGCATACAAAATGTAGGCTCTTATGGTTTCCTTTGAGGATCAAAGTACAGAGACGGATTACAGAACCACATCACCATTTTTTTTTTGCCAGGGCGAGGGGGGTGTGGGGATGGGAAGCGAGGAAATGTACACACACATCACATTTGACCTAATTTAACAATATAATTTAAATTTATATTTATATCTATACTACTAATAAAAGTATATTAACGTGAAAAACTTTTGAATCTCTATTTTACCCTTATAAATAATTGCAAAAATCACTATATCATTTGACAATTAAATATCTATATTGTCATCATATCCTTATATATTTAAATTTCTAAATTATCTCTAACATCTCTTTTAATTATCTATTTTCTATGTATAAATATTAGTTTCTATAAAAAAAAATTAATTGACTATATTACCCTTAAAAAAATATGCATAATTGTATTTTCAATAAAGTGTTTAAAAAATCTTTAAAAATTTCATCAATCTAATATTACTCATCTAATATGCAAAGATAACACTATACTTACGTATGTGTATTTTCTTTTTTATCGAAAATTTTAAACCTTTCATTTCCAAGATTAAAAATTATCACATATATAGTTTTTAAAAATCAATTTCTGTTACATCAATATAATTATTCAGTCACAATAAACTTTCTAAGTTGTATTAAGATTTTATGTGAAAATAGATATTGTAGTGTATTTTTAAGAATTTTAATATTGTAAAACTTGAAATTTTTAGATTTTTTAGAGTATTATGTTAATTTTTATCTCAATTCACCTAACCAATTTCTAATTATGGTAAGGTTCTAATATAATTAGTATATTAACAATTACTTTTATTTTATTCAAGAAATTATAAGTGGAATCTTAATCAAATTAATTTCATAAAAATTAATTTCTCAAACATCACTAAAAAATCAATTTCAATTATAAAATTCTAAAAAAAATAAATAGCATTTTAACTTTTTTTTAAATCTATTTTCTTTTAGCTAGAACAAAGAATTTTGGGAACATAGAAAATTTTTATAATCTTATAATAAAATATGAGCAATGAAAAATTATGTTTTATAAATTTGAGGTGATATTTAATTCAGATACACATATACCTAATATGTTTTATTAATTTTTGTGTACAAAAATTATTCACGTGCAATGCACGTGATGCATTGCTAATTACTAATAAAAGTACTTTAGATGAAAAACTTTTGAATTTCTCTTCTATCCTTAAACACAATTATACTTCACATTAATAATTTTATTTAAAACTTTGAGCTTCTATTTTGTCCTTAAATAAATATATAAACACTTAAGGCTTAAATTATAAAAAATTGACCTTGTGTGCACAGTTAAAGAAACCTACAAATTCAATGATTACCAATATACAATTCATAAAAGTCACTAATAAAAAACAAATTATTTTCTAATTTTATCCCAACACAATTTAATAAAGTCCATATTATAATTTTGTAACTGTGATTTAACATTAACATAAAATTCATATTATCTTTGATCCAAAGATTACTCTAATTGATTTATCTCTCTTTTCTTTTCTTTTTTTTGGATTCATAATATAAAACTAAAATTTTTCGTTGGTGTAATATGTGTTGTAACTTAGCTAACTTATAGACCCTATAGATTCTAGAAATAGTACAAACAAGTCTTAAGAGTTATTGAAAGTAAATATCAAGTTATAACAATGACATGAAATTTATACGGAGTTAAACCTTTTAAAAATCTGACTTTTGAACTTCTATCAGTTGCAATAATACCTTATATATTTAGGTAAATCTAACAATGAATTTAAAATTAAATTTATTTAACTAGGGATAAGTTAGTCTTAAGAAATTCCCAAAATTCTAATCCCTCAAGATAAATATTGTAAAAAACAAATTTTGGTAGCTAAAACATATGTCTTCTATCTATTGGTTTGTATGAAACTTAAAGCTGCAACTTGCTCTTGATATGTATTTGAAAGCGTGTTATGATGATTTACTTGATTATCCTATTATCTTCTGTTCTATTAAAAAATACAATATCTTTTGTGGTGATTTTATCAAACTTTTCTCTCGCAAAGTTTTTATCACCGTGATTCATGCAACCAATGATTATGGATTCCGAGAATAGTATATTTATCACACAAAAACATATAGTCTCAATTAGCTTTCTAGTATTCATGGAGTAATCAATCAATCTTGAAGAAATTAATTTAGCATGTAGTCTAACTTCTTAGAAGATTATTGTGGTTGGAACACATAGTAACATATAATATATCTAGACAACAAGTATCAAAGGGCATATACTTTGATTCGTACGTGTATATTTAATTATTTCAGCATAGTGATAAAAAAAAATATCACTATTACAAATTAAACTTGTCCACGTGCAATACACATATGTACTAATGTGTCAAGTGATAATTTTACATTAAAAAATATTATTGATAAATAAAATTGTGTATTATCTAATGGGAGTATGCATTAGTAAATCAATATTATAGGTTTAACACAATACACCTATATAAAAGAACAAAAAAATTTCAGAGAATTAAAGAAAAATTTGAAAGAGGACATAATAGAATCCTAAAAAAAGGCGATATAAAAAACTAAGTCTTATATTTGAGAAGAATTACTTGCTTGACCTCTTAGCTGATTTAGTCTTAAGAGATTGAAGGCTTGCCAATTAAATTGGACTAAATTAGTTTAATCATTTATTATTATCTTTATACTTCGAAAGAGGAGATTGTTGGTAGGTATGTGTGAGTATATGATCAATGTATTTTACCATATTTACAATCTATAATAAAATACACAACAATTTGAATTTTTATCCCCTATATATTTTCCCCCCTCAAAAATCACATCATCCATTTCTATCACATATTTAATTATTTATATATTTTTCCTTAAAAACATTAGATCACTCATTTCTATTATATGTTTAATCATTTAATATTTAATTAATTTATAGTTAATATAAGTTTTATTTCAAACATTATTCATATACGATAGTATACACATGTTGAAAAAATTTAATATAGTGAAATTAATTTTTTGGGCGCTCGATTTTTATATTTTATCGTGCCTTCAGGCACGGATTATAACTAATCTATATAATAAAACACATAACAACTTGAATTTTTATCACCTATATTTTTTTCTTCCTAAAAACATCACATTACTCATTTCTATCACATGTTCAATCATCTAATATTTGATGATTAATTGTAATTTAACATAATTTTTATTTCAAACATTATCTATAGACGATTGTATATATATATTGAAAAATTTTAATATAGTTGGATCGATTTTTTGGATGCTCAAATTTTATATTCCATCGTGCTTTCAGGCAGAGATTACGAGTAGTTGAACTATCAAATATGACCCATAAATTACAAAAACACATTTTGAAGCAATTTTTGATAATATACAAATTCTAAATAAATTAATCTATATATACCGATATAATAAATATAAAATCAAAATTATTATCAAAAATAATTCACGTGTGCAATATCTAATTTCAAAAAAAAGTACCATAAGCTTATCCCAGAACTTACTGTTCGACATTTGTGGGGGAATCAGCTGTAACTTCATTAAAGAAATGATAGGAAGGAGAAAATGTCCCAAGCAATTTAAATAAGATCTGGATAACTCTTATACTTAAAGTGGAAAACCCCACACAGATCACTCAGTTTAGACCAATTAGTCTATGCAATGTTTTTTATAAAATTTTGACTAAGCTTCTGGTTTTGAGACTTAGACCATTCCTTGATAAGCTGATTAGTCCTAACCAATGTAGTTTTATCCCAAGCAGACAAATTATAGATAATGTTATAATAACACGAGATCATCCACTCCCTAAAGAGTTAAAAAGGAAAGATTGGGGAATGGTTATCAAAATTGATCAAGAATAAAATTATGATAGATTATGATAGAGTTAATTGAAATTTTCTTTATAAAACTCTAACTGATTTTAACTTTCCACGGTCTTAGACTGATATCATCATGAGTTGTGTTACAAAGTCAACCCTTTCCATCTGATGGAATGGTTCTCCTCTGGAGCATATTAAATCTAGAAGAGGTTTGAGACAAACGGATCCCTTATCCCCTTATTTCTTTGTTTTGTGTATGGAACGACTAGGATAATTAATTCTAGAAAAAGTCAAAGTAGGGAAATAGAGAGGTTTAAAAGCTTCTAGAAAGGGACCACTAATCACTCATTTGCTCTTTGCTGATGACATTATTCTATTTTCTAGAGTTACTGAAAGAGATTGTCTTATGATCAAAGATGTGCTTGAAGACTTTTGTTCGATGTCAGGACAAAAAATTAGCCTGAACAAGTTTAAGATTTACTTCTCTCCTAACATAAGTAAAATTCATGCTTTATTTCTTAGCAAAAAATGTGGAGTCACCCTCACCGATGACCTATGAAAATACCTAGGTATTCCAATCTTTCTTAAAAGATCTTCTAAGGATCACTTTAAATTCATCATAGAGAAGATCCAAAATAGACTTAAATGGATAGAAAGCCAAAACTCTCTCCTTGGTTGGTAGAACCACTCTTGTTAAGGCTAATACTTCCACTTTCTCTAATCATGTTATGCAAACTAACTGGCTCCCTCAAGCAACTTGTGACCAGATTGATAGGCTTAATAGAAATTTTTTGTGGGGAGACACACCAGAAAAGAAAAAGATTCGCCTTGTGAATTGGAACAGGGTGTGCTCTCATAGAAATGAAAGGGGGTTGGGATTAAAAGAGAGTAGGGATAATAACTTGACCCTGTTATCTAAATTGGGCTAGAAAGTGAAAAACAAAAATAAAGCACTCTGGGCTGAAGTGGTCAGTAATAAATATGTTGATCAAGAGCATTTTAATTGGAAGGTTAAGCCTGCTAGTTCACCAACTTGGAGAGCAATTGGAAAAACTAAAAACTTAGTGGATCTAGGATCTAAATGGTTGATTGGTGGTAAACATATTAATTTCTGGACTGATTGATGGTGGGGAGATGGACCTCTAGTGCAACGGGTTACTCACACAGCTCATTTGAATCTTAACAAAAAGGTGGCTAATTTCATTGACAATAAATGTAACTGGAATCTCCAAGAGGCAAGTATTCTTGTTCTTCACTCCACTTTGCTCGATATTTTACACACTCCCTATCCATTATTTGTTGAGTTTCAGGATATCATTTGTTGGGGTCTTTCTTGTAATAGAAAGTTCTCAACAAAGGCAGCCTTTGAACTCCTCTCTAGGTCCAATCCAAATAGTCTTCTTTCTCTTAACTAGAATTGGATCTGAAGAATGAGTCTTCCTCAAAAGCTAAAACAAATTTTGTGGCTTATTCAACATGATAGAATCCTCACTAAAAATCTTGGAGGCTCAAGGAACATGGTAAGTGAGGTAAGTGAGGCTACTTGCTTTAGATGCCAACACTTTGATGAGACCTCATTGCATGTTATCTTTGCTTATCCAAAAGCTCAAAAAGTTTGGAAATTCTTTAATCTGTCCCAAGGGGAGGAAACTGCCCAACTGAGAGGGCTACAAGATTCGATTAATCTGAATTTCAAGATCAGAAAGATCAAGGACTGGAAAGGAATTAATTGGCCTGTTATGTGTGCATGTATTGCATGGTGTATATGAAGAGATAAGAATAAAGAAAGTATTTCAAAAATTTTAACATCGCCAAAATTGTTGCTAGGGAAGTGTGGCTTCTTGCTTGGGATACTATTAAAGCCTTTCAAAATGTTAGTGTTGATTCTGTTAATGCCTCTTCGAGACTTATTGCATGTTCTTTCCCCCAAACAGGTTGGAATAAACTAAACACGGACAGATGCTCCAAAGGTAATTTTGATCCAACAAGAGTGGGAGGAATTATTAGAAATGATATAAGAAAATGGATTGCTACCTGCTATGGGAAAATTGATGATACTACGAAGCAGAGTTATGGGCTATCTCCAAGGGACTGGAGCTTGTTCAGAAGAGGAATATCACATAAATCCTAGTGGAAACTGATTTGCTTGAAGCAACCAAACTTTTGTCCGTGGAACCAGAGGCTACGCATCCAAACAAAGCCATCATTACTTACTAAAAAAAGGTTAATGGAGCTGAACTATACCCCCGTTGTTCATACTCTCAGAGAAGTCAATCAGTGTGCAGATATTCCGGCTAATCTTTGTGTCCAACAATTGGAAAATTTTGTTTAGCTTGATGCTCCCCCTCCCAAATTAGCAAAATTTATACGCTTTTCTTAGGAACTCTATTTAATTTTTGTTTTAACCTTCCGATGTACCAAAAAAAAGACTTACTATTCGACATGTAGGTTAGGATGGCAAAGCGTTACCGGTTTTGTTTTTGTTTAATTTCATTCACATGCAGACATGAGGTTTTGCCACATGAGAGAGAGAGAGAGAGAGAGAGAGAGAGAGAGATTTACAATATGACCTGGCATGTCGTCATTTGTCTGCTATCCGGTGCACAAACGCTTGCCATGCATCCTGATAACATCTCACACATGTTGCCTACGAATCTTAACAGATATCAAATCGACTTCTGATTCAACATTAACGGGAAAAAAAAAACCCATTACTTGATTGACTGACGTGTAATGTGGGCCCTAAAGGCCGACGTTTATACCTTCATCAGAACAAATTCAATATTCTAATTGCTTAATCAGTGCACCACATCATAAAATATCCATGCATGTCATAAATGTGGATAATATGACTTTTCAATCTAGTGAAGGGTCAATGACCCAAAAGAAATAAAAAAATCTCCCCAAGGGTCATTTTATTTCCTCCCTTGATCTTTGTGGTCGACTCATCCAGATAGCAACATGTGTCCTTTCGTACAAATGGGCCTGGTGCTTATCTGTCAAGACAGATTCAATCCCGACCAACTCTCAAATGATATAAACCCAGTCCATAAATAAATAATCATTTCAGTAAAAGCATAAAAAAAAAAAATTGTATTGTATCCTTAGTTGACATTGGCTAAAACTTCACATGCCCACAGATTTTTTCCCGAAATCCCGCAATGTCAGGAGTCGAAGTGCATTGGATTACCCCTTCTTCATTTATCTAATTTTTTTGTGAAGAATGATTACGTGCTTGGTTCACTTTCCTTGATCCCAAGATACCCTCCAGCAATGCAACTATTTGCCACATACCACAAACAATCCAATTATATGCTAACATTCACGAGAACCAGACAAGCACAACTATACAGACAGAGTACATGATTTCAGCCCTATCCAACTTTAAATTTATAGGGAGGGCAACGCCCTCTCTGTACCACATCAGAACCAACAACTAGCTGACACAGGTGCTTCTCTAAGTTTGTTGATCCATAGTTACTGCCATTCTCCTAATGGAGGAAGGGTCGAGACAGTTTACAGAAGCAAAAACCAATGACATGGGAGGATTAGCAGACGAAGAGGAAAGAGATGTAGAAATCAACTCCCAAACCCAGCCTCTTCTCAAGAGAAACAGAACACTTTCGTCCAATCCACTAGCCATGGTTGGAGCCAAGGTTTCTTATATTGAGAGCTTGGACTACGAGTAAGAACATAAAAATCTTACCTTATTGGTTTTGATAACCATAATCATGCGTTAACCAACTTCGATGCAGGATCAACGAGAATGATCTCTTCAAGCATGACTGGAGAAGCAGATCAAAGGTCCAAGTATTGCAGTACATATTATTAAAATGGACACTGGCCTTCCTAGTTGGGCTTCTAACTGGTATTATTGCCACCCTAATCAACCTTGCAATTGAGAACATTACTGGGTACAAATTCCTCGCAGTGGTTCACTACATTGAGAAGAAAAGGTTTTGTAATATATCCATAGTAATTGACATTTTTTTTAACATAATTTGACTTGTGAGTTGAAGACGTGATAATTTTCTTAAATGCAGGTTCCTAATGGGATTCATTTTTTTTACCGGAGCTAATTTTCTTCTTACCATGGTGGCCACAGTTCTGTGTGTGTGTTTTGCACCTACTGCAGCTGGGCCTGGTATACCTGAAATCAAAGCTTATCTCAATGGGGTAGACACTCCCAACATGTTTGGTGCTACAACACTAGTTGTCAAGGTGTGTGGCTTTCAGATAGAACGTTATCACTTCACTTTCATTACTAGTAACAGTCATGAGCTTCAGTTTGCACAGAAGATAATTCAATCATCGAAGCATCTTCTAGACTGGGAAATACAAAAATCTTTTCTTATGTAGGTTCTGTCAAGAACTAGTAACCCTAATCGTCTGATCATTTTCTCATATGATAAAATTACATGAGGAATTTGAATCACACTTATTAGTGATGTTTGGNCTAATGGGATTCATTTTTTTTACCGGAGCTAATTTTCTTCTTACCATGGTGGCCACAGTTCTGTGTGTGTGTTTCGCACCTACTGCAGCTGGGCCTGGTATACCTGAAATCAAAGCTTATCTCAATGGGGTAGACACTCCCAACATGTTTGGTGCTACAACACTAGTTGTCAAGGTGTGTGGCTTTCAGATAGAACGTTATCACTTCACTTTCATTACTAGTAACAGTCATGAGCTTCAGTTTGCACAGAAGGTAATTCAATCATCGAAGCATCTTCTAGACTGGGAAATACAAAAATCTTTTCTTACGTAGGTTCTGTCAAGAACTAGTAACCCTAATCGTCTGATCATTTTCTCGTATGATAAAATTACATGAGGAATTTGAATCACACTTATTAGTGATGTTTGGTCAGATCAAGAAACAAAGATCGGACACATAGTGGTGACAAGTGTCATCCACTCAAAGCAATACAGCAAAGGTTTGTGTCTGAGCAGCAACCTCTCCAAAAGGAGAGTAAGATTTTGCTATAGATAGAAGGCTTATGCATTTAGTATGACATTTTGGTATGATAAAGACATGGGCCACCATTGTAGAACCAATCAGAAATCTTCTTCATAAGTATTATAATGGTTTTTGCACCATATGTCGACACAATCACTTGACCTAAGCAACGCCCGAGGTGCCAGGGGTAAAGCTTTGTCTTATACATAAGTAATTCGGTCTTCATGGGTGCCTGAGGGGCTTTCTTTGTGAGTCCTTAAGATCTCCAAAGGGCATTCTAAGACTCAGTCAAAGAAAGGCTTTGTCTCTCTTGCAGCTCCATTTTCATTATATACGCAATAGGAAAATCTTTAGTTTCTAAGGTAGTAGACGAAGACGATAGGTGCAAAAGTAATAGCAGTAGCACCAGTTCCTCCTATTATAGTTGAATGAACTCCTACACCTAGAATTCCTTTTTACCGTATTTCTTTCTTCTCNAGATCGGACACATAGTGGTGACAAGTGTCATCCACTCAAAGCAATACAGCAAAGGTTTGTGTCTGAGCAGCAACCTCTCCAAAAGGAGAGTAAGATTTTGCTATAGATAGAAGGCTTATGCATTTAGTATGACATTTTGGTATGATAAAGACATGGGCCACCATTGTAGAACCAATCAGAAATCTTCTTCATAAGTATTATAATGGTTTTTGCACCATATGTCGACACAATCACTTGACCTAAGCAACGCCCGAGGTGCCAGGGGTAAAGCTTTGTCTTATACATAAGTAATTCGGTCTTCATGGGTGCCTGAGGGGCTTTCTTTGTGAGTCCTTAAGATCTCCAAAGGGCATTCTAAGACTCAGTCAAAGAAAGGCTTTGTCTCTCTTGCAGCTCCATTTTCATTATATACGCAATAGGAAAATCTTTAGCTTCTAAGGTAGTAGATGAAGACGATAGGTGCAAAAGTAATAGCAGTAGCACCTGTTCCTCCTATTATAGTTGAATGAACTCCTACACCTAGAATTCCTTTTTACCGTATTTCTTTCTTCTCCAAGAGCTACTAAAAGAGTCATGTTCACTGCTCCTGCACCTCTAGATCGACTGTATTATGTATTTACAACCTAGGTTTGATGAGAAGGCAATTTCACTTGTATGTATATCTAAATGAGAGTCTAGAACTAGGGGTGGACATGGGCTGAGTGGTCAGGGTGGCCTAGTGTGGAAAAATATGGAGCTTGAGTTAGTTTATTGGGACCTTGACTTGGGCTTGGAACAAAAAAGGCCAAGAACTATCAAGGTTCCAGGCTGAGCACGGGCAAGAAACTATGACCGGTCAGGCCAAGCCAACCAAGAATAATATTTTTATAAATTACATTACTTTTATTTATTTACCTTATTACTTTTAATTAAGTATCAAAAAATTTAAAAAGAGTGGCCTATGGGCTGGGCCAGATACGAGAGACTATGGTCCACGGGTCAGGTTGGGCTCAGCCTCTGGGCTGTTTTTAGTGACCGACAGACCCAGCTCATGGCAGCCCTATCTACAACAGCAAAAAGCATCCATTTTTGCAGTTTGATATATCCATTAGGTAAAACAAATTAATGAACACCATTCTTCAGTTTCAACATACATAACCAATATCTCGTAGAGCCGTAAAGGTATCCATGGAAGATATTTTCTTGGAATCAAATTCAGTGACAAACTAAATTACTCAAGCATGTGCACTCAATTAAACCAAATTAGATATGACAAGTTTTTCATACCTGTTTTACCGGCTGAATGTTCTGACATCTCTTCCCACTACAGATCATTGGAAGCATTGGAGCTGTCTCTGCCGGCCTAGATTTAGGAAAAGAAGGGCCATTGGTGCATATTGGCAGCTGCATTGCTTCATTACTAGGCCAAGGTGGGCCAGACAATTACCGTGTCAAGTGGTGCTGGCTCCGCTACTTCAACAATGATCGTGACCGCAGGGACCTCATCACCTGTGGTGCCTCTTCAGGGGTATGTGCTGCTTTTCGGGCCCCAGTTGGCGGTGTCCTGTTTGCTCTTGAAGAGGTGGCAACATGGTGGAGAAGTGCCCTCCTCTGGAGAACTTTCTTCAGCACAGCAGTTGTGGTGGTGGTGCTCAGGGCTTTCGTCGAATACTGCAAATCAGGAAATTGTGGACTTTTTGGGCAAGGGGGACTCATACTGTTTGATGTGAGCGATGTCACTGTGAAGTACCATGTTGTGGACATTCTCCCTGTCGCTGTAATTGGAGTCATTGGTGGACTTTTGGGTAGCCTTTACAACCATCTTCTCCACAAGGTCCTCAGAGTCTACAATCTCATTAATGAGTAAGCACCCTCGTGTTTCTCTTCAGGTTGTTTGAATATACCACTATTATGGTCACACTGGGCAAGTGTTCTGCCACAGAAAACCAAGCCAGAGATGTAGAGAACCATTTACGAATTGACCCAAACATAGTCTAGAATTGCTAAAGCCAATCATATGCTAACAAATCACTGATCCAACTACCGAGTCTCCTCAAGTAATCTCATTTTAGTATGTTGTTCGAAATTTCAACCTCAAATTTGAGGCTCACTTTCGTGATCACGACTTAATTCACTGTCCAAAGAACCAAACCTGAACTGAACCAGAATCATATAGCTCTGACTTCTAAGCTTGTATTTTACTGCTATTCTGCAGGAAGGGAAAACTACACAAGATTCTTCTCAGTCTCTCTGTCTCACTGTTCACCTCTGCATGCCTATATGGACTCCCTTTTCTTGCCAGTTGCAGACCATGTGATTCCTCCTTTCCGGAGTCTCCCTGCCCCACTACTGGACGGGTGGGAAACTTCAAGCAATTCAACTGTCCAAATGGCTACTACAACGACCTAGCCACTATCCTCTTTACAACCAATGATGATGCTGTCCGGAATGTGTTTTCCACTAATACTCCTACAGAATTCCATATCTTCTCTCTTATTATTTTCTTTGCTCTGTATTGCATCTTGGGACTTTTCACATTTGGCATCGCTGTCCCCTCTGGTCTCTTCCTCCCTATCATCCTAATGGGCTCGGCTTATGGCCGCATGCTTGGTATTGCTATGGGGTCATATACAAACATTGACCAGGGGCTGTATGCTGTTCTTGGTGCAGCCTCCCTCATGGCTGGCTCAATGCGAATGACCGTTTCCCTTTGTGTCATATTTCTTGAACTTACTAACAATCTTCTCTTACTACCCATAACAATGCTTGTTCTTCTAATTGCCAAAACTGTTGGAGACTGCATCAACCCAAGCATCTATGAGATCATACTGGATCTAAAAGGGCTGCCCTTCTTAGATGCACATCCTGAGCCATGGATGAGAAATATTACAGTAGGTGATTTAGCTGATGTCAAGCCACCAGCAGTTAACCTGCGGGGAGTTGAAACAGTGGGTCGAATCGTGGACGTCTTGCAAAACACCACACACAATGGTTTCCCAGTCATAGATGAAGAGGTGGTGCCACCAATAGGTCTGGCAACGGGAGCAACTGAACTGCATGGATTGGTTCTAAGAGCTCACCTCATTTTAGTGCTAAAAAAGAAGTGGTTCCTGCAAGAGAGAAGGAGAACAGAGGATTGGGAAGTGAGAGAGAAATTTACCTGGGTAGAGCTGGCTGAAAGGTGGTGGAATATTGAGGAGGTGGCTGTCACAAAGGATGAAATGGAGATGTATGTTGATTTGCATCCTCTCACCAATACAACCCCTTACACAGTGGTGGAGAGCATGTCAGTGGCAAAGGCCATGGTACTCTTCAGGCAAGTGGGGCTCCGCCATATGCTCATTGTACCCAAGTACCAAGCAGCCGGGGTGAGTTAAAAAAGAATTGACAATTCACTGCACTTCCACGCCCAACACATGCGTAATGGTCTTAATGTTCTTTTCCCAGGTCTTTCATATTAGAATCCACACAAAATAATCACTACCTACTTCATTATTTACATAGTTGGAACTTTCTGGGTAAACAGATTTCCAATCGAAATTAAACTTTTGGGTAAGAATCAATAAAGCTGTTCTGTAAAAGTATAAAATTGTTAAGAAGTACTGCAACTCACCTGATGATGTGCTCCTTTTTGTAGGTGTCTCCGGTGGTGGGGATCTTGACCAGGCAAGACTTGAGGGCTCACAACATTTTGAGTGTGTTCCCTCATCTAGCAAAACCTAATGGAAGTGAAAAAGGGCACTGAGTCCCTCTGAACCACTGCAAACTGTTGCTTCCTGGATCACACCATTCTTTCAATGTTCTTTAGTATAAGTTTTCTGAGTTTTGAATTCTTTTATCAAATTCTGGAGGAAGGAAGATATCACATGTCAAAAAAAACTTCCTCAAAAATTACGATATATCAAACTATTTTGGTCACAATACAAAAATTAGTTTTTAACCACCA